CAGTTTCTCACCCACGGATAATAAATTTGCTACATGCTCTGACGACAGCACTGTTAGAATCTGGGACTTTCTACGTTGCCATGAGGAGAGAATTCTTCGAGGACATGGAGCAGATGTGAAGTGCGTTGACTGGCATCCAACGAAGGGATTGGTTGTCTCGGGAAGTAAAGATAGCCAACAGCCCATAAAGTTCTGGGATCCAAAGACTGGCCAGAGCCTTGCCACACTACATACCCATAAAAACACAGTGATGGAGGTAAAATTGAACCTGAATGGAAACTGGCTTCTGACAGCTTCTCGTGACCACCTCTGCAAGCTCTTCGACATTCGGAATTTGAAAGAAGAACTTCAAGTCTTCAGGGGTCATAAGAAAGAGGCCACAGCTGTTGCCTGGCATCCTGTTCATGAAGGGCTGTTCGCCAGCGGAGGCTCTGACGGCTCTTTGCTGTTCTGGCACGTTGGGGTTGAGAAGGAGGTTGGTGGAATGGAAATGGCTCACGAGGGAATGATCTGGAGTCTGGCATGGCATCCCTTTGGACACATTCTCTGTTCAGGCTCAAATGATCACACCAGCAAATTTTGGACTCGAATGTTGCTTGATATTTAAATATTTAAGTGGTATTTAAAAACTTAATTAATTAATTATATTTTGTCAATATTTAGTTAACCTTGTTCATGGAAAGCTTTAGTTAACCGGAAACTGTGCTGTTTGTGAGCTAATAAAAATTATTCAAGTGTTAAAATGTTAATTATAAGAGCAGATACCCTCCAATATACTGTAGCCTTTAAAAGTCCTGGAGCCAGTCCTTGCATACAGAGGAAGGAGGCAGCTGAGGGTTAGAGATAGGTGCTTAGAAGTTGTTTTAATAAACTTTCTCTTCTGTAGCTGGAACAAGCATGTAACCTACATGGCTGAACTCAAATATTCTGTGGGCTATGTAAATATTAATAGCTATCTAAATTTAGTCTGTAAATATAGATAAATATCTATTGCCTGCATTTAGCAGAAAACTGCTGTAGTTAAGAAGCTTCAGGAGGTGGTTGCACTATTTTATGTATGTATTTTGAAATTATGAACAAAATTGTGAAAAAAATCATTATCCCAGTCTTTGTTGCATCCATTGAAAGTGTACTTTCTTATGCACTTCTGATGAAATACTAGATTTTTTTCCTTTCTCTTTTAATGTATGATTTGAGCTTAAATAGGCAACCATTAAAGTTCCAGTCCTTCCATTGAAATTTTGCCTTTCATTGGTGGTAAAAATTTCACTGAATTCAGTAGTGCAGAATGAGGTAACTGAAGTCTAATCTTGCATGAGTTGCCTGCTAGTTCAGCTGAGGTATTTTGAAGAACTTTTTACTAATGATTGCAAGCATGGTCTACTAGTTCAATCTCTTGTGGACCAAATTCTGTATCAATTTGGGTTAATGTTAAAGATGATGTTATACTGTAACGTAATATGGCAATTGCAGTAATAATTTTTTTCATTATTTTCCCTGTTAGTGTAACATTTTGTCTGTACATTATTTTGCAGACAAATATAGAAATAGCAAATAGCAAATAACATTTTAAAAATGAGCTATTCTTTTTCTTTAAATAGGAAAAAGAGGCTATTTTCTTTTAGATGATAAACATATAAATGAAATTAACCTGACGTCAGGAAGGACAAAGAAAAAAAATCCCTCAGCTGCAGTTATTACTAAAAAATGTAGTCGTCTTAACAACTTCAAGAAATGATTAAGTATTAATATCTCATAATAATGTTACAAAATCACAATATTTTATTTTTAATTCTAGTGATTTAAAAGATGAAATAATCAAAAGGATTTGCCAGTTCAGTCTCAGCTGTAAAACTGTGACTAAAATGAAGAGATTTAAAATACTTCACAATAATACAGATCTAACCATCTTTCTCACAATGATTTCAGGTGCTTGGTTGGCAGGAATACTTACAACAGCTGAACTATTTCTTTGGAATAACGATAAAGACTTTTTGAAAATTGTGCCAGCAATTGAAGAGTCTAGGAAAACCATTACAGCAGCACAAGGTAGTTTTTTTTTTTCACTTTATTCTTTTAAAAATGTGTAGAAACAAAGTGTTTTTCCTCTTCTTATTAAATGATATTACATAAGTAAATCTATATTGTATAATTTGTATGTTTTATATGATAGCTATGTTATTTAAATGACATATTTTTGAATTCTCAAAGCTTCTGTGAACAATAATTCAATTTTTAATACATTAAGTTTTTATTTTGTAATACAGCTTAGGGCAGATGTACACTTAATTTAAAGCATATATGCTTTAAATTTAAGTTTATTCTCTATGTATTTTTCAATGACAAATGCTGTTGGAAAGAATAATATAAAAGCATGAAATTGTGAACTTTTACATAAAATACTGTCTTGTATTGCATAATCTCAATAACATGGTGTTGCAAAGTCAAGTATTGTACAAGCAATTCCATCATTTCAGTGAAGATCAGTAGTGCATTTAGCAGCTGAAGGTAATGAATGAGTAAAGCTCTTATGCATTTATTTGTATTTATAATAAAACACTTCAAGATTTCAAGAAATACCATATCAGGAAAGACCTAAGTAAAATTCATAAAGTGCATAGAAATGGGAATCCAATCTGGCATTACCACTGCAGAAGTTGCGCTACTAGCAATGTAGTTTGGAAAGGTCGAATCTTTAACGTGGAAGTTTGGATTTGTTTTGACTGAAAAGAAGGAAATCGCCTTTCTTTTTAAAATATAAATCGAACAGAAAATAAGAACTTATTCTGACACAGTTAATTTTTCCAGAGTGTTTGATGCGATTGCACTTGTATGTATCTGAAGATGGCAGAAAAGTACTATTCTCTATTCCTCTGGCATGTGTCTTTCTCTGGGAGAGCACAGAGCAGGCAAATACACACTGCTCTAAGAATTCTTCAGTGGCTGGATGCTGGACACAACTTTTGCCTGATGAATCCATCACGTTGCCTTCCACTGATAAAAAAAGAAACCGGAGTGCATGCTGCTTTCATACAAAATGAGGTGGTAGAACAAGCCTAAAGCAATACATCTCATCTCTTGAGTAAATTGGAGCCTCAGGAGCTACAGTGAGTTCTAAGAATTTTGTCTCTGGCGAGGTGTGCAGGCAGTTGTTCAGTTCTTATTAGGTTTAATGCCAGCATAAGAACAACTATACCAGATAAGACCAAAGCGCCTATAACCCAGTATCTTCTTGCCTGCCTTTACGTTTATGAATGACAACATTATGTTATTTTACCTGAATTGTAATAACTGTTGAGATAAATACTTAAGGCATTATGCAGGAAACTGTGTAATCAGGATATTGTTTGTTTGTGTGTTTTTCTTCAGATTCTGGGTGATTGCTGTTCATGCAGTTTTGTCTTCTACACTGGAGAATGCTTGGTGCTCACATTTTTGCCTCTCCAATGGCAAGAAAATAGCTTTAGATGTGTTAGGTGAGTTCAAAGCTATTTGAAAGTGTGTTAATTGTATTAGTTCTTCAGAGTGAGGTTTCAAAGCTGCATATCAACTCATGGTATTTGCATTAATATACATATAGCTAATGGTTACAAACACTTATCTATATTTGCATATGTACCTTTATAGTTTGCATCATAGTATCTTTCTGTATACCTGAACAAAATAGTAATTCTCAAATATTTAAATGTGGTGAATGAAACAGCATTTATATATGTTTTTTCATAGTTTATTGGTAAAAAAGAGTTTACATCTAAAAAAACCTGAATGCATTTCTCATAAGATATAGGTGAGTATCGATACATACCTGGGTTGCCACACAGATGTGTTTGTCACTGTCAGGAGGTTTTCTGCATAGAGCTGATTGATAGATTCTCCTTTTCTTGTTTTTCTCAAATTACTAGTGCATGTCATACAGCTTTGAATGCCCATGTATCTCTCTCCTCTTTATGACTGTTTATCTATTGTATTTGTTTTCTGTTCCCTTTATCATCTCCTACGCCTAGGCTACGTAGATTTTTTTTTTTTTTAACTGGAACAGGGCCATTTACTGATAGAGTTATACTGGTGCAACTACTTAATGCAATTGAAAACTGCTTCTGCATACATGTATAGTCCATTTATCTTCCTAGGAGAGAAACCCCTTTGTATGCAAGTTTAACAGTGCACCTCTGTGGGTATAACTTGAATATGCCCTACATCTGAAAGCATACAATTGACTTTTTTTTTTTAAAGAATTAACTTCCTCCTTGCTTTACTAAAATGTACCACTCTTCAGTCAGTTTGTTAGTAGCATAGCAGTACCTTACCATCAATACAAAAAAAACCAGAGCGAGCATGATATTTCTAGTGTAGTGTAGAGAGACTGTTTTCTCCTTGTGTACCATAGTATTTGCAGCCTTACATTGTAACAACAATCCTCAACCATGTCTTTCACTTTTTTATGCCTATTATCACTCAGTCTCATTAGTTGCAATTATATATCTTATTTCTCCACCATAACTCTTCATCTTTATTTTGTATCTGTTGGTATTCTTTCAATTGCAGTCTTATTCTCGTGTTTTGTGTCATGTTAAGAATCTTTTTAGATTCTTTGTTAAGAGCACTTTGCAGTTTGTTTCCATTGATAATGTTATACTGTCTGATGAGGCTGCTCTTGGCTGGAATATGCATATCTTAGGTCAATAGCATATCAGGCTGTTTTATATTCATAGCCTGAATTTCTGTCTCATTAAAAAAAAATTCTTATCACTTAGATACCATTTTTTAAACTCCTGTAAATCCCAAATATCTTTCATCAATAATGTTGTTGAAGATAATGTGATTCTTTTTATTTATTTATTTTAACATATTTTGTGTGTTGGGTTTGTCTGTTTTGGTTGTTTTTTTTTTTTTTTCTGATGAATGAATCATTCCATTCAGTACTGCTGAATAACCTCTTGCTTTTGATGTTCTCTTTTTTGGTATTTAGTGCTTTGCCATATCAGATTCACTGGGTACAGCAGACCTGTTCTCTTGCTAATCTGGTTCCTCAGTGTATGTCTGTAAAGTCAAGAGGAGCTTTGTTAACTGCATTTGCAAGAGATGGACTTTTACTTGCAGTAGCTGTTAATCAAAATGATCCAAAGGTATGAATAACAGAAGTTTATTACTTAAAGTAATAGTTCTGTTGCAAGTCTGATAAAGGTGATCTACTGAATTGTTTTAGATGTAATTTCTAGTAAGGCAATGGATTATATTCATACCAAGAAGTTCTGCCCAACTTGTAGTTCTTGGAATGCAGTTACTCAGTTAAGAACTTTGTATCAGCCAGTCTTTCATCTTTATTCTTTGAGAAATATGATAAAAAATAAACTAAATTCAAGTATTGTATCTGCAAAGGTACTGGATGACTCTCAGCTGAAGATGGGGAAGGGGTTATGGTCCCACTTCGTAAAGGTGTTCCCCATACCAATTCAAGAAGGCCAAATCTCAGGTCAAGTCTGCGTAGGATTTATTGATACTGATATCTGGAAATACTGGCCAGCCAGTATAAAATTCCAGGAAGAGATGATGTACTTCATAGCCCTAGTGCTTATTCACGAGTAAGACCGGATAAGAGTGATCTTAGGATATTTCTCAGACGTTAGGAAAAGGAAAAAAAAAGGCTCAAAATGGTAGATAATGTATATAATAAGAGTTAATTATTTTTCAAGTTCAGAAACGTATGTGTTAACTAATGCTTTAAGTAGTAATGCTGAGTAGCATTGTCACTTTCATATAGTGTTGCCAGTACATCTAATAGAATAAATTGTTAATAGAAAGCTTTAAAGTAAACAGTAATGTTATTTTGATATGAACCATTCCGTTGTGCTTTTTCTTTTTAGGCAACTCAGATTTTGTTTTTAAACACGCTGAATTTTCTAACTGTTTCGGGTAGTCTTAAAGGTTGCAGTAGCAAGAACAGCACAGTTCCCTCCAAATTTGTCAGGTCAGTAATTAGTACTAGTTACTGGTACAGTAAGTACTCCTGTTGCTCTGCCTTATCCCTTCCTCACTCCCTTTCCCCTCTTCCTTCCCACCCAGCAGAAATTATCCTTAATTTTGTTAGAATGATTTGACCAAGAGAGACCAATATTTTCCTTTCCCTATTTAGGTCTTATTGGGTTGCTCCTAGGATCTTTTCCATCTCTGTCAGCAGACTTTCTGCCTCCAGATGCTTTCCGGCTACTAAGACATCGTCCATATAATGGCAGATCAGTAGTTCAGGGTGTAACTGATGGATGGGAGTTAATAGCCATGAGACATAGAGCTGGCACAGGGTGAGAGAATTTTTCATACCCTGGGGAAGCATTACCCAATGATATCGCTGCATAGGGGCTTGTTTGTTAACGGAGGGTACAGACAAGGCAAATTTTTCATGATCCTCTGGATGCAATAGTATGGTAAGGAATCAGTCTTTTAAATCAATTATTAAGATGTCCCAATCATTGTGGGAGGTTCTCTATTTCCATTTCTACTTTTCTCCGTTACTTAGATATCCTCCCACATGTCTATAAAGTCAAGAGGAGCTTCGTTGACTGCATTTGCAAGAGATGGACTTTTACTTGCAGTAGCTGTTAATCAAAATGATCCAAAGGTATGAACAACAGACAATTTATCACTTAAGCTAATAGTTCTGTTGCAAGTCCGATAAGTGATCTACTGAATTGTTTTAGATGTAATTTTTAGTAAGGCAACGGATTATATTCATACCAAGAAGTTCTGCCCGACTTGTAATTCTTGGAATGCAGTTACTTGGTTAAGAACTCCGTACCAGCCAGTCTTTCATCTATATTCTTTGAGAAGTACAATAAAAAAATAAACTAAATTCAGGTATTGTATCTGCAAAGGTCTTGGATGATTCTCAGCTGAAGATGGGGAAGGGATTATGGTCCCACTTCATAAAGGTGTTCCCCATAACAATTCAAGGAGGCCAAATCTCAGGCCAAGTCTATGTAGGATTTATTGATACTGATGTCTGGAAATACTGGCCAGCCTATATAATGTTCCAGGAAGAGATTATGTATTTCATAGCCCTGGTGCTTATTCACCAATAAGACCAGGTAAGAGTGATCTTAGGATATCTCTCAGACGTTAGGAAAAGGGAAAAAAAAAGTCTCAGAATGGGAGACAATTCATATATTAATCATAGAATGATAGAATGCTTAAGGTTGGAAGGGACCTCTAGAGGTCATCTAGTCCAACCCCCCTGCACACGCAGGGTCACCTAGAGCACGTGGCACAGGACTGCATCCAAGCGGGTTTTGAAGATCTCCAGAGAAGGATTAATTATTTTTCAAGTTTAGAAATGTATGTGTTAACTAATGCTTTAAATAGTATTGCTGAGTATTATATTATTGTCACTTTCGTATAGTGTTGCCAGTACATCAAGTAGAATAAATTGTTAATAGAAAGCTTTGAAGTAAACAGTAATGTTATTTTGATAAGAACTTTTCCATTGTGCTGTTTCTTTTTAGGCAACTCATATTTTGTTTTTAGACACGCTGAATTTTCTAACTGTTTTGGGTAGCCTTAAAGGTTGCAGTAGCAAGAACAGCATGGTTCCATCCAAGTTTGTCAGGTCAGTAATTAGTACTAGTTACTAGTACAGTAACTACTCCTGTTGCTCTGTCCTATCCCTTCCTCACTCCCTTTTCCCTTCCTTCCTGCCCAGCAGAAATTATCCTTAATTTTGTTAGAATGATTTGACCAAGAGAGACAAGTATTTTCCTTGCCCTATTTAGGTCTTATGGGGTTGGTGACATGAGGTGGACTCCTGATTGATAGCCTTTTCTTGGCTTGCATGTTAAAACGTGGATCGTTGATTTTATTGACTTGTATGGGTGAATTGCTGACCTCGATTAGTTCAGGCTGCTCTGTAGAATTTGGACCAGCAGAGTTTATTCTATTTCATCACCTAATAACATATAGGTAAAAGATTTTGAAAATGTTTATGTGCCTTTGTCATGCAATCATATCTTGCTTTCTGTTTTTTTTTTTTACAATTTTAAATAAACACATCTTTCAAATTCAGTCTTTTGCTTTCCTTATGCCTGTCTTCTGAATATCTGTTTCTCATTCATAGTTCTCTTCTAGTTCTTATAATGGGTTTGTCCAGATGAAAAATTGGCATTGTGGCCATGTAAGTATACATTATTTAAGTGACTTTTGGGGCTGTTACATATTTAGGTGTTTATGAAATTAATGATAATTTAAATATTGTTTTTTTAGTGTAGGAAAAATCAACTTTTTAGAAATGCTAAATTTCTAAAATTTATAAAATGCTAAATTAAATGCTAAATGCTAAATTTTGTTACATTTCACTGAAGCGTAGTAAAGGAGGTCGTCCAAATTATCGTTATAAAATTTATTCAGATAACTTTAAAAGAAATTGAATGGCTTTACGCATCTATAGAGTTGGATCAGAGCACTGGGAAATATTGCTACTCTGATCAATTCATCCTTATTCAGAAAGGATGCTCTAAAAACCTTTCTGTTTGAGAGGTTGCTGCTATTTTAGAGCAGGCAACAGCAATTCCAATTATACTGTGAACCTGTACCCACTAGGTTCTCAACTGTCATTGTCAAAGCTTGCTAAACCTCTTTGAGTTGAACTAAATACAGAAAAAGAGAAACAGAAGAGATTTTTCAACCACTACCAACCACCTAACTCTCTAAGATGTAAAATATTTTGAGAGCTTTTGTGTTTCTAACGGACACCGAATGCCGGTTGTCTTCCAGTGTTTGTATTCTGAGTTTTTGGTGATGCATGCTGTGATGGCATTCATGAATGCATTAGAAGAATGGACAAGGATTTGAGGACTTGAGGTGTATAGTTTTTAAGAACACAAGGAAGTCCTACATATTTGCCAGCTTGTGGGATTCTTTTGAGGTATAAGAAAGCATAGCCTTTCAGCATTAGGTGAAACAAAGTCTTCTGATATAGTAAAAATACTGCATTTTGCAAACATGGCTAAATGATGGTTTAATTAATTATAATGTCATTAACACTCAACAGAAGTAAAAAGGGTAGGAGAAGCAGGTTACTCCTTAGAGTTCCTGTTCATAGAATCATAG